TTTTTGAATTTCAAAATATCTTTTTACAAAAAATCTTTACTCACTTGAGAGCCTGCAGTCGATCGAAAATCAATCAATAAATATGCACTTGCATTGACCAAATATATGGCTTCAATCCATTCGCGACTAGTGAAAATGCTTGTACAAACAGGATCAAATAAGACTTCATTGGTAACAAAAGCCTTATAAGGTACACTGATTGTTGAACAAGGACATGATAATGCTAGACCATAATCCGAACGAAGTTGTTTGAAAAGTTCTGGAGTAATATTTGAAATGGTGACTGCTACACTTTGCGGATTAGTTATCGTGGTAATAATGACAACGTAAAATGATACTAAAAAAACAAAAATGATGAATGACAAGGCTTTCAATGTTGTTTTAGATACTATTTTAGCTTTATTTTATATTACTTATTACCATGAAAAGTTCATTTTGGAAAGTCTAAGTTTATATATGCTTAAGTGAGAGGGAACAATATCATCAAATGACTCAAACCAAGTCATGAATATTAACAGACAAAATAAAAAATGAAAGCTACTACATATTAGTAAGATCAGTCTTGTTTTAGAGAATATGATCACAGTTTCACTTCTGTACTAATCATATACAAAGATAGTTATTTTCTAGTTGTTTTCGATATGGATACTTTCGCTATGCTTGAAAACTAACTTATACCGCTCAAAAGACGTCATACTTCCAAACAATTTTGAAGAACGTTTCTATGACATGATGAGCTCAAAATCATTGAGTCGAATCGGATATGGCGAATTTCTAATAAGGAGATCATACGGAGTTATTATATATTTTACTATACTCGGCGAATTTTTGGAAAATCTCGTAGAATTTTCTCAACCAAGAATTTCATGTTGTACCGATGAGAATAAAATCCGACTGATATACCTTTTTTTATAGCGTACAGCTCTTATATTCTTACTAATAATGCGAGAACTTTGGTATGGGTAAAAGCACTTTTTCGTTGGAATAAATAAACCTTAATATTGCCTTGATGATTGTTTTCCTATATTTGAAGCCTTTAAAATGATACCACTTGAAACATCGATGATGATCAAATTTTCAGTTGAGATATTGTTCGAAAATAGAATCGATACTCACTGCATTATCCAAACCTCAGCATTATTTTCAAAATATTTATTTTTTTCAGAAAATATTTGTCTATGACTCTCGAATAAAATGAAAATTGATTCATCACAATTTTATTGTAGTGATCGCAAGCAGCATTTTTAAACAAAAACTCATCTGAAAATTTAATCATCATGAATTCTATCGATGGTGTTGATTCGAAGACTTAGATCTAGTAAAATGATCATTATACTCTATCAACGTTTGATTGTAATTCAGTCGTAGATCATCCATACTTTTCATTATTCAAATCAGCAACTATGTTTACATACCGATGAATAGAATAAGAAACAATCGAGTGGCATATCTTTGATGTTTGATAACTTTTGCTCGATCGTTTGATTCACCGTTTTCATCATCGTCTTCGTTTAGGAAAACGTTGTAATTCCGTATTGCTTCATAAACCCATTTAACTCCAGCTTTCAAATGCATTGCAAGAGCTACAATATATAGTCAAACATTAATCACTTTCAACCTAATCAACGAAATATCCACTATTGGATATCACTCTATTAGGTTATACACTAGTATAGAAGCTTTTTTCTTACTTCGATTGTTTAGGACAAATTATTCAAATAAAGTCATAGAAATGAATGTTTTCAATATTTTGATATTAACTTGAAAACAAGTCAGTACTCAGAGATTTTTAAAAATCTATGATGTTTCCTCAACTACACAACTTTCTAATTGAATTAGTGTAGTCGATGGTTTTTTTCAGTTCTGATTCGTTTAGATAATACTCAATCAATAAATGTTTGAATTTTGACTAGAATTTTATAGCTTTCAATTTGAGACAACGATAAGTGCAATTAAAACTATTTCCTAAAAGATGATGGACAGCGTTTGGTTAGACTCTCTCTTAGTTATCATGTTTAGTTTATAATATTTATTCATTGTGCTTACTTAATTTCTAAGTTGAAATATTGACTTGTGTCAATAAAATTTAGTTTTTGAACGACGCCAATAAATTGACGTTAAGCCTAAGACAAAATATCTAAAAACAAAAATAAAAAAAAGTAAAGTAAATTCAACTATAAGTGAGTGTCAATTGTTGCAATTAATAATATATACATCAATAAACAGCCGACAGTAGCGTAAATTGGAACAGTCTCTTGTAGAATGTAATATAGAAGAATCGATAGTATAATGTTGTCTATCCATTCTTCCAACAAAAGAAACCACGAAACTCAGTATTCAACTAACTGTATATTTACATCATAAAGAACATTCTTTCGAAAGATAAGATACATTTTGATCTATCCTATCCTTTAGAAGAGTCTAGATTATATGTAATCCTACAAGGAATATTTATTTTACTATAATCCGAAAGAATGTAGTATGTGTTCCGCTTTATCAAAATATGATGGTGAATTTACATGGAAAGAATTATTACTTTTTTATTATAATCTAACGAAGGATAAATTTGAGTTGTCTTTCTATAAAATTCCATCAGAGAATGTCGATTCAACTAAAATCTTGCGAATGAGTTTTAGCTTGAATAATATTTACTGGTGAACTTCAAGAAATCTATTCCACAGATGTTTATAGCTGTCTTGTATCCTAATTGATCATTAAAACTACTTTCGCCACAAGCATGGAAGATGATTTTAATAAAGAGCAAGAAAGACTTTAATTTTCATATATTATGACCACTAAGCAAATCTTTTAGGTTTGTATAGTTCAGTGTCGTGAGGTATTGAATGTTCTTAAAGTCATGATCCCCCTAAAAATTTTGATATTTGGCTTACTATTCAGAGTTCAATCGGATATCTTTTTATTTTACAGGAAAGAACAGTAAGTTTTCATTCATATGGACTAAATCCACAAATAATGTAGAAACGTATCATTTTTAACCGAAATAAAAGTCTCTGTTTTCTTAGATTTTTAACAAAGCGTGTTCTCAAAATCATACCAGGAGAACAAATATCATATATTCACTATTTTACGACCTAATCAACTAATTCTTTTTCCTAATGATTGCTAAGAACCCCAAATTTTTAGTCAGAAATCAACAGCTTACTCGTACACTTGAAATTTCTCATCATCTACTTGAATACGATATGTAACTTTTTATTGCATATTTCTTTCGATGGGTTATCAATAGGCCTCTGCAAGGGTGTGGGAGAAACTCCACTCAGGCCCTTGCTATTCTCGAGGGTGTGGGTGAAAAGTCACCTA